TGCTCCCCTCAGCAGTGTGCTTCGTCCATCTGCCTGTTCTGCTCCCCACTCTGTCCCTGGTGAATCCTCTCACCCTCCGCATCTCTGACCTGTACCCCAGCTCTGTATGAGTAAATAAATAAATCTTTAAAAATGTTTATAAAAAACACAAGTGTCTTAATGATAATAAGTCATGCGAATAGTCCATGGTTGTTTGGGACTGCTTAGAACACTTGTGAGGATACAAATGTGAAGTAAGTTTGACATCTGCTTGAAAAATTGTAAGTAAACTGATTTAAGGATGGGGTTTCCAGCACAATGATGAACACACCAGTTCCATAATAAGATCATATAAACTGACTTTCCTCTTTTCTAACACAATAGAAATAGAAATACTCTGGCAATTATTATACAGGCAACAATAAAAAGAACACTGGAGTGTGTAAAAAAGAAGATGGACTGATGAGGAACAATCATTTCCCAGAAAATGATGACAAGGGATGAGTCAGTTCCCTGTGTGTGTTTTTTTCCTAATCTGTCATGATTTCATATTTAGAACATGGAATCACCAAGAGACACAAACAAAACAACAAAATAAAAGTCTGTTCTCTATAAAGGACATAAAAAGATAACCCAATAGAGAGTCCCAATTTTCTCTCCACAACTGAGTCAGCAATAAGCATTCCTACCTTTCCAAAGAAGCTCTCCGCTAGTAGCAATATTGTTGAGAAAATAGAAGGCAACACTTCTCAACACATTTTGAAGTCAGTATTATTTTAATACTGAAATTGAATAAATACAGCACATAAACTAAAAGACCAAGTCTCTCATGAATGTACATGCAAAAAAATCACAGTAGTTTTAGCAAGTCAAATTTAGCAATATATAAAAATAAATGCCATGAGAAGGTGGGATTTATTTCAAGAATGGACTACTGGTTAAATGTCCTAAAATCAGTGTAATCCACTGTATTGGCAGACTGAAGAAGACAAAATCTAATATCCATTCATGATTTAAAATAATGAAAGAAAACCTCATACAAAACTAAGAATAGAGATCTTCAAACTCATAAGGAACATCTTGTGAAAAATTACAACTAATATACATACAAAGAAAAAACATATTGAAGCCCTAAACCTGAGTATGTACCAACCAGATTATTTAACTACTTAAGGTTTAATTTTAATCTTAATTTTTCACTTAATGTTTTATCATAAGAATTTCCAATATTATAAAATATAAAACACATTAGGACCTCATATTATTCTATAACATTGTAATATATTTTATTTTAAAAAATCCTTAGCTTGCTTCCATTGATTTTATAATTATAAATAATAATTATTGTTCCTATAAACCTTCAAATAAATAAAGCTGATAATTTTCTTAACATATAAGCTTTAAAAGTGGAATTGCTAAGTCATTTTTAAAACTCATATTACATATTACCATATTGTTGTCAATAAAAATTTTATAAATTTGTATTCCAATCAGTAATGGTATGTTTGTATTTCCCCCATTAACACACTGGATGTGTTTTTAAAGTTAAGCCTACATTCATTAATAAAAAGTATGTTAATATTTTTGAAAAAAGAAACTAATATAAGAACAAACTAAAGCAGAAATGATGAAACCATGAAAATTAGAGCCCAATGAAAGAGAAAATAAAACTCACAAAAACTTTTGCCTTTAAAAAATCAGCACAACTGATAAACTTACAGCCACACTGACAAAATAGAAAGCAAGAGTGAGAGTGAGAGATACAGAAAAAAAAAAAAAACACCAACAAGATTTCCTACTTGTATAAATATTAACATTAAAGGAAATATTATGAATGTGTTATGTAAACAAATTAGACCTATGAAATGGGTAGATTCCCAGAAAGACAGAGATTATAGAACTTGACTCAAAAAGAATGACAGGAAATATATGTGTACAAATATGAATATTCAATATATATTATTATAAATAATAGAATACATACTATATATTCTCCATATAGTACATATTATATATGCTATATATTCTATTTATTGTATAGAACATAATGCATGTAGCCTATACATTACTTCTTATACATATATATGAATATATCCATATCATGTGTTACATGTATATAGCAAATACACATATATATAATTATGTGTGTGACACACACATATTTGTTAATTAAGGAATGTCCATATGGTACCAAATGTTCATAGAGAAAAAACACATTCTCAGACAGAGGGACAAAGTCTATTTAAATAAAGAAGTGGGGGGTAACCAGCAATAGCAGCAGTGAGAACACTGCCTGCATGAGGAAACAGGTCCAAATCCTTCCTGTATGCTGCAAGGATCTTGACCTCTGGGATGGGCCAGTTATCAGGATCCAGCCTTCCAACTTTCTGGCAGAAAACAATGGGCTTGCGCACTGTCTCTTGGACAGATCTGACAGCCGTGGTAGGGGGAGTGGAAGTGGGCTGCCTCTCAAAGTCAAAGCTGGATTCTGCTGGTCTCCTAGTATGTGCCTCTAAGTCCGATTTTTTTTTCCAAACACACTATGATTTAGAAAACCAAGACAAACAGCCCATAAAGGCAGCTACTCCAGGCTGCTGTGGGAAGACCACTAGGCCACTAGACTACAGCTGTGCGTGCTTCAAAAGTTCTTCCTGGGGAGATAGTGCTGGGCCTGGAGTGAGAGGGTGAAGAGCAGAAAAGCCCAGAGGCACCGCAGTCTTACCCTTCCAAGACCTTGTTAATCCACTGGATGGCGACTTTCTTCTCTAAGTCAAGGTCTTCGGCAGTGATTGGATAACTGAGCTGGGGGTATAGGGGCAGGATCAGCGGGTCATTTCGCCTTGAGGGCAGCAGCAGAGGAATCTTGCGCTTCCGGGGTCTAGAAATATCAGCGGGGAGTGAGCAATTTCTCAAGCATTCATTCTGCCCTGAAGCGATGTCTGCAGCCTTTTCTTGTTTGATCTGCCTTTCTGGTTTAACTGAGGTTGAAGAGTTAGACTGATTGCTTTCTTCAGTTGCTTTCTTCATAGGCTCCTGGGGAGGGGGTGAAGGTGGACCCCAGAGTGTCATGCCTGTGTGGCTTTTCTGCCGTGGAAGAAAACCTCGAGTGGAGCTATAAGAACTGGTGATGGCATTGCGTTTGCTGCATGAACTCAAAAAATGGGTCTGGGGTTTCTTCATCAGGATGTCATCTAATCCCTTGTAACAGATGTCTATGTCTCTCTTCAGAGGCCCAGGCCTAGGCACGAAGGATGAGAGGACCCCATTGACCATCAGGCGCATAAATGCTGACTGCGCACTCCCACTGCCTTCGGAAGCCCCATTCTGCTCATCCTGGCCATCTCTCAGGGGGCGCCCTTCTGTTACTGGCACTTTCTCATTCGCAGCCTGGCGGGATAAGTCCTTCTCCTTCGGGGCTCTCAGTTGACCACTCTCTTCAAGGGGCCTCAGCAGGGTCTCATTTACAGAGGAGTTTAGGAGGTGGCCGGTGAGCGAAGACCACATGCAGATGACTGTCTGTTTCAGAGCCAAACGGAGAGTCAGTTTGCCCTTGGCAGATGCCATCTTTAGGATCACTGAGGTGCAGAACATCTTGGAGCCGCAAGCAGAGAGCCCTGGATTCTTCTGAGGTCCACTCCAGGGTACCGAAGAAAAGACCCCCCAAAATAAACAGCGAGCCCGCTGGATTGGGTATTGCCGCCGACGGACAATGACAATCCGCCGACGGTGCAGACGACGGCGAGGCAAGGCCACAAGATCCTTGTAGGACAGCCTGCGGTGAGCCTTGTCCTGGCGCAAAGCAGTAGAGCGAACCGGGTCAGCTGGGAGAACCCGAAGGGCCCTGTGCGCGCGCTCCAATCTCTCCCGCTGGTCCTCTGTCAGCAGAGTTGGGGGCGGGAGTCTAGAGCGAGACCGGCTCAGGTAACAGCCCATGAGGAGCAGTTCTGCACTGTCGGGGCTTACAAATAGGATAGTGGCTCGCTGAGGTTTCCCTTAGCTGCCGACGGCGTCCAAAGTAAAGCGAGCACTGTTGGATGTGCAGCCTGTGACGTGTCATTGGAATGTGTGAGCAAAGAAAGGGGCGAGAACTGCGCACCAAGAAAAGGCCAGAACACCTAGCGCGTTTGCTGACACCCCCCTTTCCCCGCTTCCCTCTGAAGTTGTGGGCACGCCGCCGCCGAATCACTTACTGGAACCTAGATGCCTTTCCAAGGCCACAGAGTGAGAGGTACAGTACAACAGCAGGTGCCCCCCTCACCCCTAGCAGGAGGACTCCAGGTTCAGCAATCCCCTTTGGAGGCGAGAGTTTCTGTGCAGGCACAGTGTGTCTGCTGGTGCTGTCACCATACCCAGCGGGGAGCCGCTCAGCACACTAACCAGCCCAGCGCTCACATGGTGCCCCTTTCAGGGGCCTGCACAACCTCAGGAACCAACAGGCGAGGTGCCATGCCAGAATTGAGGAGCTCTCACGCACCTTCTTTCCTTCCCAGAAAATTTTACTTTCTAAGCATGCCTACTTGTCTTCCTGCCCATTTCTTGGGAAATGAGAATTCTGGTCCGATATAATGATCATAAACTAGAACTTAGAGATAACAAATTGATATTTTTGTAGATAGTACAGTCAGGAACAGGATACCTACAACTTGAATTTCTGTTTTGAAAATCATGTTTTGCCATCACCCTAATCTTTTTCATCGCTCCTCAAATAGATCCTGTAGGCACTCCTTTTCAGAGAATATGTGGAAGGGATAGAAATGGAGAGCTGACCTGGCAATTCAAATTGAGTCACATCATTTGGCTCCATGTAAACATTCTCTTGGATGTTATTAGTCAACTAATAATAATAGTTGACTGGTCAACTATTTGACTGCCTATTCAAACTAGTTAAATGTGTTTGATGTTTTAGCAATTATCCCTGATTCTTTGGTTTAATTATTTTGGGTTTTTATCTTTTTGCCTTTTTTAAAAAAGATTTGTTTATTTGTGCACACAGAACTGGGGTATAGGCCAGAGGTGCAGGCACGGTGAGAGGATTCACAGAGACAGAGTGGGGAGCAGAACAGGCCGACTGACAAAGTATGCTGCTGAGGAGAGCAGCGGGTGGGTCAGGAGAGGTCTGCCGCACCATGTGAGTCAGCTCCAGGGCAGGCGGGATGGAACTCATGTGGAAGTGGCTTAAGCTTCTTAGTGCTGTGCTTTAACCTGCTGTGCCATCAGGGAGGGCCTTGCCTTCTTTTTTTTTTAAAAAAATGTGTTTATTTATTTGAGATCATATTAGTTTATATCACTGTACATGACCCAGATGTATAAGTTGTCACTATGACAAAAAAGTATGAACATGTTTAGGCACCACTGTAGACCTAATGGCTTAATTTGCATTTGCCATCCAGTTGTATACCATGGTTGGTTGAATCCTTGGATGCAGAAACAGATGATATGGAGGACTGACTCTACTACTCAGCAACTGAAAGATGAGGGCTTGAGACTACAAAGTTTTGCAAAGTTCAAAAACCTAAAATCAGATGAAACCACAAACCATCTGCTGGAAAATTAAAAGTAACTCAACTCTTAAGAATCAACAGATACTCAAGGCAAAAATAGAGAAATACCAAAGCAGCAGGACAGGGAACACAAATGTACAACACAGGGAAACTTGAGACCTGAAGGGAATATGACACCAAAAGAGGAGGACAACTCTCCAGAATCCAAAAACAAAACATAGAACATATCTCCATATTGGATGAAGAGTTCAAAGCTGACATGGGGAAAAATGCAAAAATCAAGTCAAAGTAATAGAAGATAACTCATAAAAGCTAATCCAAGAGATACAATAAATCAAAAAAGCAAGTGAATGACCTTAGAAATAAAACTAATGAATAGAAAATAGAACAAATCTTTAAATAAGAAAAAAACTGAGATTCAGTTGATAAGATGATCCATGTATGAGCGAAAATTTGAGAAAGCAATGAGAAGTAGAATAGACCAAATGGAAGATTTAATCTGTGACTTCAAAGATAGTAATATACAAAGAACCCAGTGGAAGAGGGAAATGAAAACTTAAAAAAAAAAAAAAAGACACTTCAAGAACTATCTGAATCAATTAATAAAGGCAACATAAGGTGGTGGATATCCCATACGGGGAAGAGAAGGAAGAGGAGGGTACAGAGAGTTTCTTAATAATTACTTTGTTTTTGCGTAAAAGAACTGGGGTATAGGCCAGATGTACAGGGGTGGGAAGAGCCACCAGAGACAGAGTGAGAAGAACAGGCAGATTTACTGATATACACGGCTAAGGGGAACAGCAGGTAAGGCAGGAGCAGTCTGCTGCGCCTTCTCTGGCTATGAATACAACTCATGTCTTAGCAGTAATAGTGCTAAGACTTAATCCTTGGGCCACCAAGGAGGCCTTAAAGAGGGCTTATTTTAAGAATAGAGGGCCCTCCCTGGTGGCACAATGGGTTAAAACACAGCACTGTGAAGCTCCCTATAGCTGCTTCAGCATGAGTGTGATCACTAGCCAAAGAGGTGACCCACATGGCATGGCAGAACTCTCGTGACCCACCCATTGCTCCCCTCCACAGTGTACCTCCACAGTGCCTGTTCTGTTCCCTGCTCTGCCTCTGGTGGATCCTCTCATGCTCCTGCCCCTCTGGCCTCTAAATAATCTTAAAAGAAAGAAAGAATAGAGGAAAACATCCTAAACCTGGGGAAGGAACTAAACATAAAACTCTATGAAGCAAACAGAACATCTGGTTATCTATCTAAATACATACATAGTGAAATTACCAAGAGTTCAAGACAAAGAATATTGAAGATATATGGGGGTGGGTAGAAGCAGGTAACTTATAAAGGGACTTCAATTATGCTTACATTGGGCTTCTTAGAAAGAAAAAAAAAAACCTACAAGCAAGGAGAGAATGGAATGACATATTCAAAATAATTAAAGATAAAAACTGCCAGCCAAGAATACTATATTCCTGCAAGACAATCAGATGTGAAGGAGCTCAAGATATTCTAGGTGTATTTGAGAAAACTGTCTATTCATTTATTTTTGTATGAAAAATCCTATAAATATGCCTAGTAATCACATCTGATCTATTACCTCACTTAAGGCTATTAATTATTTGTTATTTTTCTTTCGGGATGTTTTATCCACTGATGTAAGTGGAGTGTTAAAGTCCTCCACTATTTTTATGCTGCTGTCAATGTTTTCCTTTAGATGCATTAAAATTATTTTAGTTGCTTCTGTATTTCAGTGCATAAATGTCAATGATAGATACATCTTCTTGATGCACTAACCCTCTTGATCAGTATGTAGTATCCATATTTCTGCTTATCTCTTTTTGAACATTTATCTGATATGAGTATAGGAGTTTCTAGTTTTTTTTGTTTTTGTTTTTGTTTCACTATTAGCTTGAAATTTCTTACTCTAGCTTTTCTTACTCCAGTCATCTTTGTATTAGACCTAGTGTTTATACCCGGTAAGAACAATATAGATGATCCTGCTTTTTGAACAATCCAAACTTACAATTGCAGAATTCCATCTATTCACATTTCATGTGATTATTCATTTGTGGGATTAAATTACTTTCATCTTATCTTTCCTTTTCTAGTTGTTAATATTTTGGTGGGTTTTTTTTCCTTATGTTTCTATATGACTTTGAATAGTTTTCTGTGATAATTCTATTCATTCTTTTGTGTGTGTGGTTACCATGAGAATTGCATCAAATTTTTGTAACCAAAATAGTCTTCTTTGTATTTATATCAACTAATCATTTTCATATACAAATTACAAATTCTGTACTTTCCTTCCTCCCTTTTAATATTTTCTGTTGTCTCATATTATTCTCTTCTATGCCCTACTATTTAACACTTTCCTCAAGATTTTGTGTTCATTTTTTTCTTTTCTTATAGAATTACTTTGACTTTTTCATAGGATAGCTTTGATGGTAGCAATTAAATTTTGTCTGAGAAAAACCTGCATTTCTCCAGAGTACTTGAATGACAATTTTGCAGGCTATAGTATACTTGGCTAGTATTTTTTAATGTTTTAGGTTTAGCATGTCATGTCATTCCACTCCTCCACTGGTAGAGGTTCTAGGAAGAAATATGATTATAACCTGCTAGGAGTGCTTTTGTCCGTTACCTTAGTATCCGTTACCTTAGTATCATATTTTTAGTATCATTTTAGGTTCTTTCAATCCACCAATGCAACATTTATTTTCCTTTCTTTGTGTCTTCTTTTTCCTCTAACAATATCTTATAACTTCTATATATAGACCTTTCACCTCCTTTGTTAACATTCCATGGAGGGATTTTTTTTGGATAATTTAACATTAATGTGTCTTCATGTAGGCCTTTTTCCATTTAGAAATGTGATTTCTCTTTATTTGGGCATCTGCAGTTAATTCTTTCCTTATGTTTAGAAAGTTCTCAGCAATTATTTCTTTAAGTAGGCATTTGCTCCTCACCTTCTGGGCTACCTACTATCCTTTAATTTCCTCTTTTAATGGAGTTTAAATTTGTTGTAGTTTCTTCATTTTTTTCTAAATTTCTTCTTCTTGAGTTGTTTATACATTACTATCTTCTATTTTACTGATTTTGTGAGATTAATTCTAATTAATATGTTTTCCATCCTTATCTTCATTTCAATCACTGCAATCTTTGCATATAGAATCATTGTTTTGGTTTTTTTATCACCTGTCTCTTTGGTGAAGAACTCCTGTTCCTGTGCCTCTGTTTTGATATCCTAGTCCCATATTTCTGTGTTTGAGATTCTCAACTTCATTGAGCTTCAAGATGTTCTTCTAAATTCTTTATGTGTTAGATCCTCCTCCTTTTATGTGTCCTTAAATTTAATACCTGGAGATTTTTAATTCTCTTTCACCATTTCCATTTTTCTGCTCTTTTTAAAAAAAAAGCTATTGGTGAAG